TATATACAGGTGTACCAATATGTTGAATTCCTAACTTTTGAGATGATTCAATAAATGAACGAGAAGTACCAAAATCTGTTACTTTAGCTGTTACTGGATCAAATGGATTATTTGAAACAACCAAAACATTATCAGTTTTTAAATCACGATGAACAATATCGTTTTGGTGTAAATATTCCATTCCACGAGAAATATCTTGACAAAATCTAATCTTTAATAAATCATTCATTGTGTTTGTTTTCATGAATTTTCTTAATGATCCTAACGGACAAAATTCGGTTACAAGACATAACGTGTCTGGAGTTACAACACTTCCAATATAATTCACTACATATTGACATCGAATTCTTTCCATCATCCCAGCTTCTTGCATGAAATTAGGTAATAAATCTTTGATGTCTACTAAATCAGTTTTCATTAATTTAACTGCAACATCTACTCCTCTCCATTCAGCACGATAAACAATACCAAATGTACCTGAACCAATTGGTGGATGAATTAAATTAATTTCTTCATAATCAATCTTAGTAGATAATGCTGATTCAAGATTTAAATCTAAATAAACATAAAGTTTATTTAAACCTTTTACTTGTTTCTTCTTTCTTTCTTTCTACTGACTTTCCTTCTATGGAATTAACGAATTGAAAAAAAGAAAGAAATAATTATTTTTTATTGAAAATAAACAAAAACAAACTTTTTAAAAAGAAGAAATAATGTTTTTTTTTTTGTTATTAAGTAAATAAATTGTAATTAGTAATAAAATTATTATTGTTAATTAAAAAATAATTCTGAAGAATGGAATGTTGACATACATTTACTTAACAATGTTTTATCTCTGCTACTAAAAGAAGAAGATATTTGGTTAAACAAAAAACTATTCATTAAACTACATAATAATTAGAGCAAATATTATATTATTAATAAACATTTTTTATAACAACAATACCTTTATGACTCTTATAAATTTCGTATTTAAAATTAATTAATGACTTGAATTGACTCTTTTAGTTGAAATAATCCATGACGTCTGTTAATATGAAAAGAAATAACAAATTCTTTTTTTTTTGATTTTATGAAAATTAACAAATCAATTTGTTCTATCAATAACAACTTCAACTGTAAAGAAAAATAATCTTTTCATTTTGTTTATAATTCATCTTTTCTTTAAAAAAACTCCTTCCTCTTTGTTAATATTTATAAAATTTTGTTATTGTTTTTAGTTATTTTAATAACTAAAATTAAAAACCAAAATAAAATAAAATCTATTTAAGAAGATTTTTTATTAATAAATATTAAATTCATCAAGTCTGTTAGTAATAAAATAATTTTTATGTCATAATTCCCATCGAACTTCAAAACACAAAATTCAGAAAAATAAAAAAAATAAAAAAATAAATGAAGAAAAAATTTATTCAATTGTTTCATATAAAATCAGAATAACCATTTTTATTTTTCAACTCTTTCATTACATTCATTCTAATGAATTTGAATAAGAGGAAAGGTTTAAATGAATTAAACAAAAAGACAGTTAATATTTATTCCATCAAACCAACTAATAAAATTTAATAAAGAAACTAGAAGAAACAAATATTAAACAATAATTGAATATTAAAAGAATCAAGAATGGAAATAAATAGTAATTCAAACACCAGTGAAGAAGAAAATTAAAAAAGCTAAATATAAGAAAAATAACGTTGTCTTTTCAATAATAACGATTTTACATTATCAATAAAAATTAAACCACAAAAAATAACCTACTTTCTTATAAAAATGAAAGATTAAAAAAAAAAAAATAAGAAAAATAATCTCTGTATAAAATAAATTGTTCATTCATGAATTATATACAATTATTTGAGAATTATATGAATGCAATAGACAAAAAAAAAGAGTCAAAACAAAACGAAAAAAATTCACCAACTAAGGATTGTTCAGTTATTGAAAAAGTTACTGTGGAAGAAATTATACCAAAATCTGATACTCAAATGTCAAATGTACAACCAGAAATTACTTGTGTTAAATTTAATATTCAATCAGTTTCAGTTCAAAATAATACTTCTATTACATTGTCAGATGGATTAACAATAACAAGGAAAAGATTAAGTAAATCTAGTACAACTAATGATTTTAAGAAATTAAAAGACAGAGAGATCCTCAAACAATCTCAGCCAATAGATGTCCCTTCAATTGAAACTATTATCATCCCTCGACATAAAGTTATTAATTCATTGAAAAAAGAAAATGAAGAAAATGGAAATGCATATCAAATTAAACCATTAATTAATGAATTTCCAAAATTACAATGGTTTTTCTTATTAAATTGTACTTCTCCTAAACAAGAACGATTAACAAAAAATCGTCTTTTATCAATAGGAGAAGATTTAAATTATATCAATAAAAAATATGTAACAATTGATATAACTGAAAATAAAATTGGATATATTCGTACATTATTAAAATATTTCTTTGATAAATTTGATAGAACTGGTGCTGGAACATTTTTAAGAAAAGAAGATTTTAATTTTTTTGAACAAAGTGCATCTATTAATGGAGCTACGTCATTATTAAATACAATTCATTTATTTACATCATTAGAAGTACCTATTGATTATAATATTTTTGAACAAATATTATTTAATTATTGGTCATTTATTCTTTATGATGATACTGATGATTCTTTAATATCATTAATTAAAGTCATTGCTGATGGAATTACAGATGAAGAACATGGAGAAATATTAGGAATATTTACAACAGATGGAATTAGTGCATTAATAAGAATGGATATAAATCAATTACCAATACGATCAATTTTTAATTGTTTTCATAGAACAAGTGTTGATTATTTTACTGTTAATGAATTTATTTATTGTTCACTTCATCTTAAATATTTCCAAACATATTTAAATGAAGCAAATAAATTATTTGAAGACAAAGAATATGCTAAAATGGTTGCATTATTTAATTTAGTTTTTAATGCTTTTAATATAGAAGGAAAAGGAATTGATTTCTCTATGACAAAAACATTTGTATCAAAAATTGACAAAAACAGTAAACCATTCTATAAAAATTTAAAGACTCTTTTTAGTAAATTAGATGATGATAAAGATGGATTTCTTAGCTTTAATGGATTTATTAAAATATTTGAAAAAGCAATGATCTTCAATTTTAAAAAAGATGTTCCAATTCCACATTTTGACTTTAAATATTCTTCTATTTATTATAAACAACTACTTATTGATCTTCTTAAAGAAAAAGAAAAAGCAAAAAAAGATCGTGAATTAATGGGAGTTTATAAAGGACATTCAAATGTTTCTTCTCCTAGTTTACTTAAACTTACTTTTAATTCTGGTGAAACTTTTAAACTAAAAGTAAATAACTCTTCTAATTTATCAGACTCAGTTCCTGTAAATTTGGCTCTTATTGGTTCAACTTCTTCTTCCTCTTTATCAGAAGAAAAGTTAGTAAAGAAATTATCTAAAAAGAAGAAAAAACAATCTTGTATTATTTGTTAACAAAGGCTATAACTTAATTGTATTTATTCACTTCATCTTTTGTTATATTCTCATTTTATTACATTAACTTCTAAACAATGCTTTTTTGTTTAATAATAATTCTTTAAAATATTTCTTCTTAATATAATCATTTAAATTATTTCATTTTTTTACTTTTACAATAGAAATAATACTTCTTGAAATGATTTAAAAATCAAAAACAATGATAGGTATTGTTGTATTTTTCATCACTTATATATAAATTTAATATTAACACCTTTTGGATTGATAATGAAATCTGCAAAAAGAGAAAGTTAACTTTAAAAGAATAAGAAAGTTATAACTTGAATAACTTTAGATTATTTTATAATAATTTTAAAATTTTTATTTATTTATTGTTATTTAAGTATAACATTACTTTTTAAGATTATTTGTGTTATTCTCATTAAATTATTATTTTTTATTATTAGATTAATAGATAAATAAATCAAATAAAATATAATACAGAAAATTTAAACTTTTCTTTTACATTTAAAAACAAAAAAAAAAAAATAAGAAGGGTTGATAATCCTAAAAAATTTTAAATTTTCCAAAGATACAAAATGGAAAAGAGAAAAAGATGAGAAGAAAAGGCAATATCTGAACTTAAAATCATTAAACAACGGTATTATGAAATACCAACAATTTATTATGATTACAGGAGGTGTAGGAGTAGGTAAATCTACTTTAATTCATGGATTAAAGAAAAGCCTACCAAAAAAAGAAAGAATATTTATTAAAGAATGCATTGACTTTAAACCCAACATTGGAAAAAAAATGCTTGAAGAAACTTTGAAAGGTAAAGGTTCTATATATCAATTCCAATTATTTATTATTGATTGTTATAGAGAACAATTAGAAAAAGCAAAGGATATGAAATATGTTATTATGGAAAGAAGCCCAGCTGATTCTATTAATATTTTTGCAACAGAATCTTATCTTCAAGGTAAAATTAGTGAAGAAGAATTTAATGATTTGAAAATAAAAACAGAAGAATTATATCAAAGTTATAATATCCCAAAATATCATGAATGTATTTTTACTAAGATAGATAGTTGTAAATATTCCATTGATGGAGTATTTCAAATTGTTAAACAACAAACATTACAATGTTGGAAACGATCAGAAAGTGCATTATTCTTACTATTTTGTAGTGATCCATTAATGCAAAAAGAAAATATTGAAAAAAGAGGAAGACCTGAAGAAAAAGATTATGATATTAATTATATGATTAGAATTAATAATGAATATGAAAAGTTATTTGCTAATTTTGCTTAAATAGTAAGGTATTTTTTTTTTGTTGTTAATGTTTTATTTAATTCATTTCTTTTTTTTTATAACTATATTGATTTCTTTATTATTTTAGAATAAAAAGACGATTATGATTTAAGAGAAATTCATTTGTTATAAAATAAAATGATTCTTCTTTTTCTTAATTTTTTTTTGTTTGTTTTACTCTCAGAGGCAAATGATTCATTATGTTACAGACAAATGGATGGGTTTTATTGTTTAGATGATACTCTCTTTATTTGGTGTTATGGTTATAGTGAAGGATTTGTAATGAGATGTAGTTCTGGAACATTATGTAAATGTGGATTTACTCGAGAAAATCCATGTTTGTTGAGTATGCAAGAGTCTGCTGATTGTGTTGGTAATCCAGGAGATATAAAAAATTTAACATTTCAACAATCAATATAAAAAAGATAAAACACTTTTATTAAGATAGGTTTATTTATAACAATTTTCTTCTTATAACTTAAAAAATAGATAAAAATTTATATCTTAAAAAATATTTTTTACTTCCATAACTCAAAGACAAATGATTACAATTTTATTGTTTATTTCTTTATCTTTTGCTGCAAAACAAATTGAACCAAATCAAGTAAAACAAGTACCACCAAAAAAAATAAAAGAAATTCAATCAACTAATATGTCTGAATTTGGTTATTATAATTTTGATCAAAAGAAAGTTAAAAAAGCATTAAATGATATTAAAAAACCTAAAATACCCCCAATGATTCCTATTGTAGCACAACCTCCTATTATTCCAGTTGTTCCAATCCAGTCATCAATTACAATTACAGAAATTCAACCACAACCAAGATTTGTTCAAGCTTATCCTACTCTAATGCTTTAATTTACACAACTTTTATTTTTTTTTTATTCTAAAAGTTATAATAAAAAATAAATCAATTATGATAAAAGATTTGATTTTTAAGCATTTCGTGATTGTTGTGTTAAATCTAATTCATCTGTCAAGGCAACCGAGAAAGCATCATTATTATTATTATTATCTCTATTTTGTGAATGGGATGAACGTGGTTTTCGTGTAAACCAGAAGAAAGCAATAACACTAATTATAACAATTAATAATATAATAATGATTGCTATAATATATATTGGTGTTGTATTTCTTTCTTTCTCTTCAGTTTTAATACACTTTCCTTCTATTAAAGTATATCCTTTTGTTAAATCACAAATACACTGATCATTTTCTTCATTTGGAACAAAGTTGTTATTACAAACCAATGTACATTGTTGAGGTCCATTTGCAGTATATCCATCAGTACAATCACATCCATTATTTTGTTTATTTACTTTAATACCTTTACCAAAACATTGATATTCACATGAACCATCTTCTAATTTTCTATAATTTTCAATACAATGACATTCTCCATCTTTCTTTATTTGAAATTCTTTACAAGTTAGTTCAGATGGACAAGTAATTAATTCAACAAAGGTATTTCCATCAATAGAAATACATTTACAACTTTTTATTGTAGGAGCATAATAAAAGAGGGATGTACATGTATCATCTAAATAAGTAGTTCTATTTATTACATTATCATCACCTTGAATATATTTATAATACCCATCTAAATCTTTAGTACATTCAATAGGATAGTTATAAATAATTGTATCTTCTACATCACTTTCACATGAAGAAAGAATTTTACTGTGAATTGGAGAAAGGGTAATACTTTCTTTTAACATGTTAGATTCATCAATAAGAATTTTAACTGTTTCAGAATTACCTTTACATTCATTATCTTGATATATTTCTCTAAGAATATTTGGGATTTGATTTCTCAGACTCATTATATATACTAAATCTAATATACCTCTCTTTAGCTTCAAATAAACAACTATTAAGTTTATAAATAATTTGATGTCCTTGTTCTATTTGATGAATATAATACTGAGGAGATTCTTCTGCAAATACCAAGGAAAGACAAATAAAAAAAGTCAACATAAACCAATTGAAAGAAATTGAGATCCAATCTTATCATAAACTCTCTTCTTATTTTTTTAATACGTCATTCATTTTCTTAAAAAAAAAAAAAAATAAAATAAAAATAAAAAAAGAAAAAAATTAAAGTAAAAAAAAAAAAGTATTTTTGTGTTTTTTGAAAAGAAAAAGAACTTTAAAATAATAATAAAAAACATGATATATTTACTTCTTTTAAGTGTTTCATTTGCAACACTCGTTAATGTAACATTTAATCCATCAATGAATAGAGTTATTATTCATACATATATTGATGAATATGGAGAATATCCATATACATTTATAACATCACATTTAACAAATGATTCTAATTCATATTCATTAGATGGAATATTACCATTTGCAGAAACAATTCAATTAACATTAACAACAAGAGAAGGAATAACACGACCTAATGTAGTTCAATCAAATACCACAGTAATAGCTGTTCATAATAAAGTATTTGAGATATATGATATTTCAAAACAACCAGCATATTTAATAACAACAAGAGAACAAGATTTTGATAAAGATAGTGATATGACTCTTGTCCATAGAAAACAAGGAGATATAATCTTTTTATGTAAAAAGTCATTATTAAATGAATATAATATTCATCTTCAACATCAACTCTCAACTAATATTTGGTGTGGAAAATCAATTAGTGGAGGAAATGAAATGATTGCTGTAAAAGGAAATAGAAGTAATGTAAATTTATATGAAATAGATAAAATAAAAGGAGAATTATATTATTATGGTAGTGTTTCATATCCATATTCAGAAACATTTAATTATGATCCAATAAGAATGAATAAATTTAATGTACTTTATGCACCAATTACTGGTTTAAATAGACTTCAAGTTAATTCACCAAATGATTTTTATAGAAATGGAGAAACAATAATAATACCATTTTATAATTCAATAAATAATTCAGTATTATATAATCCAACAGGATCACAAATTATTTATACATATGGAAGTCTTATAATAATTGGAACACCATTTATTAATAAAGGAACAAATTATAATAATGGAGGAGCAATATTATATTATGATTATTATCTTACAGATCAACCAATTAGATTTAAAAAATTATGGGAATATAGTGGAAATAGTTCATCACAATTTGCAGGATGGAGTGTTGGAATAAGAAGTGGATATGTATTTATTGGAGGAGCAATAAATACAAATGAAAAAGGGATAATACAAAAAGAAATAATGATAAATATAACAGAAGTATTAAAAGATTATTGTGTA